CCCATAATGTCTAATGTATATACCAATTTCAAAAAAAATCCATCTGTAAACAGCCAAGAATTGCTTGATTTTTAGGATTTTTTAACAAAAAAATGGCCATTCGGCCATCTTGAATCAGATTGTAAAACAAAATGATGTGCATCAAGGTCTTATAATGTCTAATGTATATACCAAGTTTGAACAAAATCCATTTGTAAACAGCCGAGAAATGCTTGATTTTGATGATTTTTAGCACAAAAATGGCCGTCATTCGGCCATCTTGAAATTGACATGCATATGTATAATATCATGTATGGTGTATGTGTGAAGTTTGATTGTGATTGGTCCAGGCATTTCTAAGATACAGATACTGCGTCCGAATGGGGACTAATTAATATGCATGGAATTGCACCAAAATCTAATCAGCGCATCTACTCATCATATATTAGCTGTGTGCCAAATTCCATTTGAATTGAAATTGTAGATCTTAAGTTATCAGTGGGAAAAATTTTGGTCACAGAGTCACAGACACCGGTACCACATAAGCTCTGTTTCACGGGAGCTAAAAATCACTAAAAAAAGCATTCAGGGAATGTGACTTTAATTTTTAAACATAGTTGAACTCTGGTGCCTTTTGTTATATAATATTATTCTCTTTATTATAGTTTGTTTCAATATGAATATGCATTGTCATAATTAATTTTGAATACAAACACGTTTTGGGATTGAAACAACAGTGGGAAAGCAGTCGATCGAATGTCCTTGATATCTTAAAAAAACATTGGTGCATAATTTGTTTAATTATTTTAAGAGACATAATTTCCAGCTTCATTCAAAATAATTCAGATATTTTAGTATAAAAAACAAACTCCTCATCCCAGGAAAAAATAAAAAATAATAGATTCATAAGTATTTTGTACAGGTGTCTGTTAAAAATTAATGATTCACTGAGACAACTACAACTGCAACTGCAATATCCATTGTGTGACTACTGTATTATTTGAAAAGTAAAAAAATTACCATTATGCAAATCAACTTAAATACTGTAAAACACTTTATTTTGCTTGTAATTAATTTTCGCTAATTTCACTGTAGGGATGATTCAGTAAAAATAAAATTCAGCGAATATACAGTTTCTCCTATATTTTACTGAACAGTGAAAATTAATTTCATACAAAACACCCGAAAATTCTTTTAGCGAAAATTAATTGCAGCTAAAATATAGTACTTTACAGAAGTTAGTTGGTGTCAAGTGGAGAGAGTCAAACACTGCAATCTTTGTTTTTGAAGTGCGTTTTCAAATTATTATTATAAAAGCTATATCATTCTGTTCTAATAGCTGAAACAAATTCCTGTGAATATTGATTTTCATTTGTCGAATGAACTGTTTGTCAAATACAGAATACCTATTTTTGAGTACAATTTTCTTTTCAAAATGTGGATGCAACATTTTGCTTTTTATGTATGTTTTATGTACTGTTTTTGATTTAATAACTTTGGACTAAATAGATTTTCTATTAGCGACAGATCTAGACTTGCTTGCTTTTCTGATGAAAAATTCTTGACAAATAAATATAAATTGCGTAAACGAGGGGTGAGCGCGAAAATCATGTGACTGCGAAATCCCAACAGACTTGCCATCAGTGTAAGCGCCCTCTCATTACTGGCCAGATTTGGGCTTGTAAATTTGCATATACGTCATACCGTGGGTGGAG